ATTACCTTGCTCATGTGATTGTAACCCCTCTGTACAGTATTTTCACAATAAAAAGCTTATTTTTTTTAAAGAATAAAATGGGTGGAACTAGAGCAAATCATGAAGAGGTTAAGTCAAGCTCAGAGAGACAAATTGTGCATATTCCCTCTGATATGGGGAAATCAGATCTAAGATGAACTCTGGGATATGATAAATCATACAGGATTCTGGATATGCACACACAGTGAGACCAAAAGAGGATACTCTTTGGAGGGAATCAAAAAGGTGCAATGCCTGCCTCTTCATATTTATATAAAATACACATTCTGAAACCAGCCCCCTCCCCCCCTTTTTTAGTTTTCTATTTTCTTTACCTAATGTACTGTGTATTCATGTGTAAATCTCTGGGAGGGTGTGTGTGTTGGGGGAAGGGCACAGAACTTGAGGAAAAAGGGTGAAAAAAGTGCAGCAGTGGAGCTCACTGGACACTAATGAAAGTGAACTATACAACTCATGGGTGGAAATGGGAAGGAAGGACTGGGAGGAATGAGTGAACAGATGACACGGTACTAAAGGAAACGTATTCATTATCTGATTCATGTAAATGTAACCCCACTGTGTATCACTTCTATAACAACTTAAAAAAAAAGAAAAACCAAGTATATTGCACAAATGCATATAAGTTCATGACATCATGGTTATTTGTTTTTGGAGTCATTGTTAAGGAAAACGTTAGACAAAATAGGTATGTGATTGGTACAATCCAAGCCACCTCTTGTAAAATAATTACAAGTAGTGTGAGGGAGGTAGGGAGGCAAGCCTAAATATTCTTCCAGTATAGCAAACGCATAGATAAGTAAGTCATCTAAAAGCATTATTTTTTTTTAAGAAATGCATTTAAAAGATTGAAAAAAAAAGTGGTTGCAGCTGGCTTACACCTGTAATCCTAGCTACTCAGGAGGCTGAGATCTGAGGCTCACAGTTCAAAGCCCAGCCTAGGCAGGAAAGTCCATGAAACTCTCATCTCCAGTGAAATACTCAGGAAAATACAGAAGTGGCACTGTGGCTCAAGTGGTAGGGCATTAGCCTTATGTAAAAGAAGCTCAGAGACAGAGCCCAGACTGAGTTCAAGCTCCAGGACCAGCAAGATTAAAAAAGAAAAAGTGTTTGTGAGTTGTGTGCTCTTTGCTCATGCTTGTAAACCTGGATCTGAGGATTACTGCTCCAAGCCAGAAGCCAGCTAGAGCAGAAAAGCTTGTGAGATTCAATTAGCCAGCAAACGACAAAATAAAAACAAAAACCAGGCGTGGAGGTGTCAACTGGTAAGAGTACCAACCTTGCGAGAAAAAGTCAAGCAAGAGCTTGAGATGTTGGGTTCAAGCCCCAGGACTGGCACACACACACGCGTGCGTGCGCGCACACCAACAAGAAAAAAGTGTTTTTCTTTTATTTTGCTGTTTTTGTTTTCTTGAGTTGCTCATTTAGAAACCTTTAAAAGGATAGGAGGCACAGAAATGGAGGGACAAGGGGTGAAACAATGCAGCCAAGTGGTGCTCACTGGACACTATGTTAAAAAGGAACTATACAACTTGTGGGTGGGGGAGGGAAGGGGTGACACTCCTTGCCTGACTTCCGTGACACTAACCCTGTGTATCTTCATAGTAATATTTTTTCAAAGCCGTTGCATACTGGAGACTTCTGTTGAACTCAGCCATATATGCATATATATATATATATATATATATATATATACACACACACATATATATAGCAAAAAAAATATCCTTACAAGCCCAATCAATGTAACATGTTACGATACGGACGTGTAACAGTCTTCGCGTGTCTCTGGATACAGTCACAGGGCTCAGAGGGGCTGGAGGCGGCAGTGGTTTCCTTTCAAAGCGTTCATTGTCGGGTTCTAGAACTTGGACCATTAACAGCAAGCGGTGTTGGCTCCCCGGCCCCAGGATCTTTGCCCCGGGGCGCCCGGGCCGGCTGGTGTGTCGGAAGCTGCAGCTCAGGCGGTTAAAGGTTAACTTGAGACCTGCGGGAACTGTCGGGGCAGATCAGCACCCCGGGCCTCGGTTTCCCCGTCTGTGAATCGGGCGGGTAACCGGCAGCGAGGAGGGGGGG